GTGTCACTCCCGGATAATCGAAAATGGGCAAAGAGTTGCTGAAGAGTTCAGCTGGTTGCTGAAACCACGCCCACCTAGCTCGACAGTGGTGACAGCAGCGCCAATCCACCTGTCACTCAAGTGACCACGCCCTTAATTATGCCGAACTTTAAGGCTTAATATAATTTAAACGGATGAGTTATAAAATAAATTCACCCCCCTCAGTTGTCATGAAGGGCAAAATTAGCTATATAGACCAAAATCATTTTTTGAACCAGGCTGTAAACGTTTTTTCTGCTGTAAAGTTAGGCATTTTAACATGGGGAGTCTATGGGATTGACTCCCTTTTGCAGCCAGCCTCTAGCGGCCAGTTGACGAATTACAGTTTAAGTCACTTTCTTGTTGGCTTCACGAGAGAGAGCGGGAGGTTGCCGCTCGGATCTGCCGTAAGAAGACGCCGTAATTCCCATCCACTTACATTATATGACTGACAGACTGCAACGGTTTGAGTTAAAAATCTCCGTTTGTGTTCTACTGAAGAAACAAAGTCACCTACATCTTGGATGCCCTGGGGGTAAGCAGATAAACATCACATTTTCATTTTTGGGTGAACTGTCCCTTTAAATAAGACAAATATAATGTATGTATTCAATCCCATTTTATTAACCAATGTCTTTGCTTCTGACCTTCAGAGATCCCATTCAGCCATACTAATATGAAAAAATTACTTTAGGTAAACATAAAATTTAAAATTTTTATTGCTGAAGAGTGTTGAACTTTCTTCTCTTGCATCCTGTTCTTCATGCAATCCAGAATGGCAGCACCGCTGAAAGGTTTGTTTGAGCTGCGCCCTCTACTGTACAGACGTGAATGAACATTTCCTTCAGCCTGAGGCGCATTCATTTTACTTTTGGTGTAAAAGGTATTTTATATTTGGCAAAAATAAAACTTTTTATATTAAAAACAAAAAGCAAGCCCAGCCCAGGGGAGAAAAAGTAATGCAAAAGTAATGTAACACATTACTTTCCATAAAAATTAACTAAGCAACGCAATTAGTTACATTTATAGGGAGTAGCGCAATATTGTAATGCATTACTTTTAAAAGTAACTTTCCTCAACACTGGTTATAGAGAATATATACAGAGTAGACTTTGAGCTTTGTAACCTTGCAGATCTTTTTTATTTTATGCTCAAACAGTAACATTACACACCAACTAAATTTTAAAAAAGGTCATCTGCTATAATTATAACAACCGGATTAAGGTGACAATTAGAGCTGATTGTGGTAGATTGCAGACTCTCCTTACTGTTTATTTCTAAGATGTAATACACTGAAAAAAACTGGTGCAGGATCAGGTGTTTGAAACATACTTCACTTAGAAATTGTCAACAAATAATTCCAAAGAAACGGCAAGTAACACATTGAATTAAACATTAAATTTTTTAGTAGAAAGACTGAAATAGTATTATCTTGTAAAACGTATTCCAATAATCTTTTTACAGCGTACAGTATGATGATTGCTCAGTTTGTCAGGCTTCTTCCCTGAGCTCATGTGATGTGCCGTCAGCTTCACCGCACACGCGTTCTGCTGAGATAAAGGCCTCAGCGCTCCGTCCAGCAGCGGTCAGACGCTGTGATCATGGGAATGCGCTGCCGTATGGAATCTCACTTAGTTCTGGGGGCCTCGGGGGTGTCTGGGGTTTTGGGAATGCGCTGGCTGGAATGTGCCGCCACTGCGGGCACTCAGACTCTTGGCCCTCAATGAAAGAGGGGTGTCCGTATCTATGGGCAATGCCTCTCCTGGGACCCAAGCTGCTTTTGCGATCACAAACAGATTGAATACGCAGATGCTCCAGGAGACGGAGAGCTGCCGTCTGTGCCGGGCTTCAGGAACGCTTCCACTTCTCTACAGGAATAAGTGCTGCTGAAGCTGAATCCAGACCGCCAGCGTCTGATCAGACCAAATCTGGTCCACTTTGCAGCGAGACACAGGTTCTGACACAAAACTACGAAACGCAGTTCTTGTTTCTGGTTTGGTTTTATCTGAAACCAATGATACTGCAATAATAGCACATAACAAAGTGGTAAACTAATGCTGCAGAATCTCAGAAAACAGCTGAGTGGAAAACATGTGTAGATGTCAGAATTTCCATCTATTATTTTGCAAGCAATGCTTTTCAGGCAAGGCAGACTGTATGGTTGTGGGAAATTTGTCAACTCCAGTGACTGGTTGTTTCTCAGAAGAGCTCGCTGTATCACGTCTAGAAACCTGAGCGCACTGAGAAATTGCTTAAAGATTGGTTTTGTTTTGCGAAAGCTCTTTCTGTTTAATGTTCTGCATAACTAAAAGTGCATTTCATACAAACAGACGTTGAAATTCAATTTGAGACTGTCCTTAGATTGTAAAGATAAAAAGTCTAATTAAAAGACTTCCGTAACTCAAACAGGCAAAAAAGCAACACACTTTGGTCAAAATCAAAAGTCAGTGTGGCTTCACCAACGTGCAAGGCATTTTATGCAAGTTGTGCAACAAGTAAACATAGAACTTGAAATGACATCACAAAGAAGATGCCTGTAGATCCTCATGCGTGGGTCATAGTCAGTAAATCTCACTGTTTGTGTTTATTAAAATAATTTAGGTAGTTTCGTATTCCTCATCTGGCAGCTGTCACGTTGGAATTGAATAGAACTGAATTGGACGTCAAAGTCTTTCCAACAGTGTTCCAACAGTCTGATGAACATCAGATTGTATTAGGGTGAAAACGTTCTCTTAATTATTATTCCTGAGGCAGGCTTTAAGGTTTCTAATGTGAGCCTGTCTGTCAGTTCTAGTTTGACTGTGCTTCTGCTGTGTCCTCAGGGATGGACAGTGAGTACGAGGAGCAGAACCGCTGGGATTTGGGTCGACTAAAGAAGCAGAAGGAGCAGCTTCTCCCTCATCTGATCCTGATGATGCTGCCGCCACACCGGCTGGACGTGCTGCCCACCTCTAGACGACGCAAACGTGCGCTGGACACCAACTACTGCTTCTCGTAAGCATTTCTTCAACATACTAATAAAAATGAAGCTGACTGAAACTGCAGCCCTATTCCAAAAATTACTGAACTGCCTACCTAGACAATTAAATGCACCACAGGGGCTTATTGTTTGTTTGTGTATTTATTTGACAGGGACAATGCATGTAAAGGAACATTTGTGTAAAATACAGAATGTAAACAACCCGGATTATAGCAACATTGCTAATTTACATCCACAGTCCCTAGGCAGGTGCACAAATATACATGCAGAGGTCACATAGAAAACAAAATACCCCAAACACATTATTTAAAATTTCGAGGTAAAACGGTTACACTATTGATTTGTCATAAGCCACTTACTAAAGTGATTTTTTAAAAGTATGATAAGTGGAACATTGTCTTAATATGTTAACTCTTTATCAATTTAAAGCTTCTCCCCTCTCAGGAATATCTTTGAATGTGTCATCTCTACGGTTTGTTCTGCAAACATCATGTAAACAGTTTTTTTGTGTTCAATAGTGAACCTGATTTGGTAAGCCAATGCTAAACATTTGTCATAGCAGAAGTCAAGGTAATCAATGCTTCCTCACAATTATTCGCATGGGTAAAAATTACTACATCATCTGCATACATCTGAAGATTTAAATTTTCACATACTTCAGGTAAATCATTAATATAAAGTGAAAATATAATAGGTCCCAAGATAGAGCCTTGTGGAACCCCCTAGGGGCAATCAAGGTAATATAATTTCGTACCATCAATATACACACATTGTTGACTATTTGAAAGATATGATTGTATCTAAACTATTGTTAATTTAGCTAAAAGAACCTGGTGGTCAACTATGTCAAATGCCTTCTATAGATCTAAGCAGACAGCACCAACCATAGACTGTACGTCCAACGTGGACGTAGTGTCCATGACGTCTCCTGTAGGATTCTGAAGAGCATTTTTTAAAGCCCAGCTTGGCAGCGTGTCACCGCACATCACTCCCGGATAATCAAAAATGAGCAAAGAGGCGGGACGTGGGTGGAGCTGAGATGCCTGGTTGCAGAAACCACGCCCGCCTAGCTCGACGGCAGTGACAGCAGCAGCAATCCACCTGTCACTCAAGTGGCCACGCCCTTAATTATGTAGAACTTTACAGCTTAATATAATTTAAACAGATGAGTTATAAAAAAAAATTCACCCCCTCACAGTTGTCATGAAGGGCAAAATTAGCTATACAGAGCAAAACCACTTTTTGTACCAGGCTTTTTTCTGATGCAAAGTTGGGCTATTTAACATGGGGTGTCTATGGGTCTGACTCCCTTTTGGAGCCAGTCTCTAGCGGCCAGTCGATGAATTGCAGTTTTAGTCACTTCCGTGTTGGTTTCAAGAGAGAGACGGGGAGGTTGCTGCTTGGCACCAACATATGCACTAGTAGGCATTTGACTTTCTCAACAAACATACAATTAGCTGATTTTGTGAAATAATTACATTGAAGGCCAAACAGCATTTGATGTACATAAGTGAAACCATTATTTTGATCAGGGGTTCTCAACTCTGGTCCAAAGTCCACTTTTCTGCAGAGTTTAGCTCCAACCCTAATCAAACACACCTGAACAAGCTAAACGAGGCCTTCAGGATTCCTAGAAAGTTACAGGCAGGTGAGTTTGATCAAGGTTGGAGTAAATGTAGGATTTAGATGATTAGTCAGAAACTTAGCTACCCTGACATGAAGGTTGTTACAATAGCTAGATAACTTATGATGCCTTCAGACCTAATTTTGGATCAATTTCACACAGAATAGAGTGCTGCAGGGATTTTTGTAAGACAAACTAGAAACATTTGAGCACTTTTGGTTCCATAGTCTTGAAGTCAATGGGTTTTTGGTTAAATGTCTGAAATAAGGTCTGTGATGAACACAAGCTAAACATATTCCCAAAATATTTTGAAAGCTTTTACTTGTCTTGAAAAAGGCAGTTGCTAATAAGTGTCTAAATGAGACTATAGTGGGATGCTGGTGGTGTCACTTGAACAGGTAATCTCATCTAATCTCTAGTCACTTTCACAGCCTCAATATGTTTATAATCTCGCTCTTGCAAACCATTCTAACTCAAACTTTCAGGGAAATTGTTTTTAAATAAAGACTGAAGAGTAATGGTGGTGACGCGAAGTCATGTGACCGACCCGTGGAGTAGTTTATTTATAGCCTATGTTTAGCTTTTCACTTCTGGTAGTATTGAGGCTTCAAAATTCAAATTCAAATTGCAAAGTGGTTAGTCTCAGAGCTTATTTTCTGCAATAATCCAACATACAATGGAAAAATCCTCTTGGGTTTTTGTGAAGGGAACCAGGTTGATGCTAACTTATGGGTTGGCCTGCAAAAATTCTCACTAAATTAATCACTGCAGCACTTTGTACATTGTGAAAAAATCCAAAACATAATTTATGAAGAAATGTGTGTACTGATCCCGTCATTGCGAATCTGAAGCTCCGGTCGTTGATTTGATTCCCAGGGAATGCATGCATTGATAAACTATGAAAAGCGTCATTTGGATAAAAGTGTCTGCCAAATACATTAACGTAAATGTTAATCTGTAGGTAGGAATGCAAGGTGAATTTGATCTGCTTTCTTCTCAAAGATGGCAAGACCTTTAAAATACGTATTCTCATCCCTGCTTCATGTTGCAGTAAGCAGCAGCGTACCTCATGTGTCTAGAGAGATTTTCCCCTTGGGAATTAACTTTTTAATTGGCACCTGACGGCTCGAAGCGTCTGGGAGGTTCTGCAAGGGCTTGCAAGTTTGGATTTGTCCCAGTATGCTATGTAGTGCACTGGCTCCTTAGTGTGTGGCTCTCTGTTAGCACTCCACACCTGGGTCGGATCCAGGAGGGAAAAAATGACACACCTTACAGTGGAATTTCTGAGCCTCAAAAGATTGTTTGACATGTTTATAAGGCCATACAGAACCGAAATAGAAGTCTCAGAAACATCCAAGTGAAAAGTGCATGGAAACATCTCTGAATGAATGCAGAATCCACGCCAGGGTGTGAACGGGCAGGTGGAGAAAGTGACGGCTTTCCTTCTGCTTTCAGAAACTACGAGGAGAACTGCTGCGTTCGGCCGCTGTACATCGACTTCCGGCAGGATCTGGGCTGGAGGTGGATCCACGAGCCGAAAGGGTATCACGCCAACTTCTGCTCCGGGCCGTGCCCATACCTCCGCAGCGCTGACACCACGCACAGCTCGGTGAGAGTCTCCTTCACACCTTTACTAACCTTCATGTCGCTTTAACACGTGTGCCTTTCTTTCATGGAAAAAAGGAGATTGTCTGAAGAATGCCCAAGCTGCTCTTTGCAATACAATAAATGAAATGGAAAGACATGTCCAAAAATGCACCATACACATAGAGGTTTAGGCTAAAGACTAAACCCTTGAGTCTCAGACCAAGATGTCATGAGACCAGGACCACCAGATCAAGACACTGTCTTCTCAAGTCACATGATGCTTTGTGTGAGAAACAGCCGTTATTCATTGAAAATCTTCCACTTTGTGTTTGCATACATACAAATTTGCTGCTTCAAGACATGGCATCATTGACCTCTCATCTAATGTGATAAGTGGCATCGGTTCTTGTGCAACTCGTATCTGATCACAGCCATTCTAAGATTTAAGAATTTCAAATGAGATTTGAGAGCTACATTATATGCAATACCATTACCATTATGTCACTGGTAATTTTAGACCTTAAATAATTGAAAATCTTCCACTTTGTGTTTGCATACATACAAATTTGCTGCTTCAAGACACGGCATCATTGACCTCTCATCTAATGTGATAAGTGGCATCGGTTCTTGTGCAACTCGTATCTGATCACAGCCATTCTAAGATTTAAGAATTTCAAATGAGATTTGAGAGCTACATTATATGCAATACCATTACCATTATGTCACTGGTAATTTTAGACCTTAAATTTCAGTCTGTTCCTCACAAGCATCATCACAGGACTTAAGAAGACTTCAGATGAAAAAAAAACAAAAAAAAAACAATCATATGGACTATTTTTTATGGTGCTTTTCAGATTCTTGACTCTGTCTGTCTCTATTTCCACTCATTGTATTGAAAATGGAGGCATGAACATGTGATGCACCACATTTTCAGCAACCAAAAACTAAAAATAATTGGCTGAAACAGCAACAAAAGGATGAATTAGTAGTTTCAACAGTTTAAAAATAGTTCTAGAAGTCCGAAAATAGCTTCTCCGATGGCACATTTTGATTGTTTTAGCATTTATTTAGTGCACTTCAGCATAAAAAAAATTATGCTAGACTAGCAATGTGTAGAATTGATTTGGCTGAAATATCAAGAGGTGGATTGTTGCCAAAGAACTTTACTATGACTGGTATATTACATGTAACATGAAAGCATAAAGAGTTCAATCACCCAATTACCCAAAGTGAATTACCAAAAAAAAATTTCCACTTTCGGTTTTCAGCTAAATAAAAACTTTAATTTCGATAAAAACTGTAAAAACTGAAACATCAAAATCAATAATGTGCGTGATTAATCTTTTGTGTTCCATGTAAGAAAGTCATACAGGTTTAGAACTACACGAGGGTGAGTAAATGATTCATTTGAATATTAATTGATGACTATTATTATTCAGTAATATAGCTGATTTGGTGGCATCAGATGTATAGCGGGAAGCTGCATCCTTGTCATTTCTGACTTGTAACAAAAAACAGAGCAATGCCTAAAAGCTGCTGTGTGACAAGGTGTACAGTAAACAAGCTAAAAACCCCAGAACTACTTTTTTATAAGCTGTCGACCCAAAAAACGAGCGTTTAAGGACACAAAAGTAGAGCCCAACGTGTCATATTACTCGGAGAACTGTGCCCACTGGAGGGAAACGTAATCGGCGACAGGAGCAATTTATTATTTTTAACCATGTCAAAGGATTATTTCATCACCCGATGTGAACCTGAGAAGAGCAGATATATTGAGAAACTAAATTTTATTGGTCTATGTCAGTCCCCCTTTTCCTAACCTTCCTTTTGTTTGAGAAATCATCCAACTGAACGGCCCAACGTGAAATACCCTGACATCTACAACTATTTGTGTCCATAAATGCTACTTTTTTGGGTCAACAGCTTATAAAAACATAGTTCTGGGTTTTTTAGCTTGTTTACTGTGCACCTTGTCACACAGCAGCTTTTAGGCATTGTTTTTTTTGTTATAAGTCAAATGATAAGGAGGCAGCTTCCCGCAATACAAAGTCAATGGAGAGTGTTGGATTGTTCTCCCCCCTCCCCCGGTGTGGGCATGGCCTAAATGCGCTTCGTCTCTATTTGGACAAAGCATTGCAATGCGTTCTCCTGGTTTCTCTGCAGCTGCTGAGCCTGTACAACACGCTGAACCCCGAGGCGTCTGCTTCCCCTTGCTGCGTTCCTCAAGACCTCGAGCCGCTCACCATCCTCTACTACGTGGGCCGGACGCCTAAAGTGGAGCAGCTCTCCAACATGATCGTCAAATCCTGCAAGTGCAGCTGAGGGGCCCGAGACCCCGGCACTGAGCCCGACGCGGGGTCCGGCGCTCGAGGGCCAACAGGAAGGGTGCGTGCCAGGAACTGGACTCTAAATGAATACCTCCGTACATCCTTCTCACCCACATCCAACCCGGGAGCCAGAGGCTTCTCTAAGAACTAGAAAGTTGCGTTCCAAGACGACTACGCTGCCCTACGATCCCTCGGACTTCTAGTTTGACGTTTGAAGTGACTTCTCCACTTTTAATGTGTATTTTTTGGTCAGCTCTTTTAACAGTGAACCTCACGGGCATTTGTGAACTCTGACCTTCGTAAGATCCACAGAAGCGGCTTCACTGAGGACGACACCGATCGACATACACCGAGAGCGCCGACCCTTGTGTTTTCATATAACTCGTTTGAGCACGGCATTTCCCAGACTGAACGTTTTAGTGTGTAATCGACACCGTTTGTCTAACGCGACGGTGTTAATGTTAATACAAACATGCTGGAAAGAAATCTTTTGAGAAAATGTGTTTTGACTTATGTTTACCTCTGTCACTCGGCAGAAGTTTTAGGGATTTGTATAGTTCTTCAATGAAGGTGACGTTTCGAAACGACGTATGCTGACACGTAAACTTTTAGATCACAAACTGCTAATGTTTTTACTGCTATTACTCCTGAAAACACTTTTTAATTAAACAGTCTTAGAGTTTGTCATGAGTTTCAGAGGATCCACATCATCTCGACTGCTAAAAAGGGTGCACGCACGCAGATTGCATAGCTTGCTTTAACAGTATATATATTTTTTTAAAACAGAAGTAATCACAAAAAGTAGCTGAAATGCTAAAAAGGTACAGTAGCATAAATGCACAAATAATTGGTCAAGTTTCATCTGGTCATGCGTAAATTCAGAGGATATTCAGGAGAGAAAATGCAATACAAATACTGTACAAACTAAAACACATTAAAATCCTGAGAATAAAACTGTATGTTGCATAAGTTCAATCTTGCATAATCGGCCTCATTCATGAAACGCAATATGAATTCTTGTAAGTTGTTCTTTCATCAACCGATACTCTCAATTCAATGCAACAATTTAGGTAAGAAGTGTGTTCCGTTCCTGCTGCATGAATGAGGCCCTGTCATTTATTCATTTTTGGCCAGGTACTTAAAGTGAAGCGTTAAACAAAAATCAAACTGAAAACACAATGTCATCCCTTCAGCACAGCTGTGTTGATCACGGTGCATCAAGTAATTACCAGGACATTGTTCAAAAATGGTAAAGTGTTTAGTTGCACAGAAACTCATCACAGCTTTACCTGGACGTCGATGTTTCTAGTTTGCAGACCAGAGCTGCTCCAGTGGTTCCTCACACCTGAACCCAGGCACTTGAACAGAAGTTGTTAGAGATCATTAGCAAACGGTGCTGAAAGCTCTTTAGTCATGAGTCTAAATCTTCTATCTGTACATGTAAACATGGATAAACGTGATGGGCGCTCTTCGTTGCTGGGCGTTTCGCAGCTGTTGCAAGCCGTCAGTCCGCACAACCTTCACATGGCATCAGATGTGGGGTGAAAATGAAGCCTGGACAACTGCGCATACGAGACAGCGAGAAGCAGGACGCCTTCAGACTGTGGAACAGATCCAATCAAAGCAAAGGATTTCACGTGCAATCACACACTCAAAAAAGACACATAAGGCCTTGGGAGGGAAATAATGATTATCAGAAGACAGCATATTGAGAGTGAAGAGGTGAACTCTTCATGTCCATGTTTTGAGCCGGTGGATCTCTCGATCTCAGTATGTAGAGCGATTCATCTGTTCCTGGAGCCCTGAGTGTGGAAGAGTTTACTGTACACTGACAGACCTGTGAACACACAACAACACAATGAATCAACACACAAACACACATGTGTGAGCTGTAATTGGATTTCAGTCTGGTTGTAGTTCTGATCTGGAAACTAAATGATGAAACACTAAGAGTCACTGATGATCTTCACATGCACCGTGATATATATATTCCAGGGGTTTCCTTTGGATTTAAACACACAATCATTTCAAAGGTGTTTTCAATCTGTGAAATAAAAATGATACTTTTTGCAATGCTTGACACTTTTTAGTCATACAAATAATCAACCGTCACAACTTTACACGGCATGTTTTTCGCTCACACTTTAGTTTGGGGACTAATTCTCATTGTTAACTAGCTATTAACTATGACTTTTGCTTAAGAAAACTCCTAATTTGCTGCTTATTAATAGTTGAGGTAGTCGTTAAGGGGGTAGGATTAAGTGAACAATATGTGCTTTGTAAGCACTAATAAACAGCCAATACACTAGTAATATGGATGCTCATAAGCAGCTAGTTAATAGTGAGAACTGGTCCCTAAAACTAAATGTTTTAAGTGGCCCTCGTAACACTTAAAGAACAAAAGTGCAATTCTTGTGCAAAAGTCTCTAGAGTGCTTTCTCTGCTTTTTATGGCTGAAGCTTGGCTACACCTGATACCGATGTCAATCATCAACGTCGGTTATTTCCATTGATATTGCTATGATTATTAACCATTGATAAAGACTTCACATTGGTTATCTTATCAGCATGAAAAACAACACGTAAAGTGAGCAAAATTCATTCCCCATCACTGACTTCAGTTCACAGCATGAGTTCTGCACTCTCACAAAAACTACTGTTATCATCACTGAAGCTGTCCACACTATCAAACGCATCTCTTACACTGAATCTGAACTTTCTGAACTGCTCATGACGAGAGCCAATCTAAACACTGCATTCAAGCACTCAACAGAAACGTATGCGACTGGTTAGAACGATCAACACTGCAAAAAACACATCTTTGACAAATTATCAGCAGATGTAATGTAATGCTGCAATTGACCCTTTTCGTTCATTTTATATTTCACTTTAATCACGACAGTCGCAATCAATTTAGTTTAATTGGGCAGGGACATTTTCTTGCATTTTTGTTTATTTTGGTGCCATTTTTCCCCAAGCCTGTTCATTTCCAAACCTGATCGCACCCAATAGGCGCTTGTGAAAAAACACTTAATCAATGAGCCTTAAAATCAGTGCTGTTCACAACCCATTCTACACACATAATGTGACATAAAAATGGATATTCATTGAAGAGATAATCTAGAACTTAGACTTTATCCATGAATGGATGGTTAAAGTGTCTCTATATGAAGGTGACAGTAAAATGAGGCACTGAACTGAATTAACATGAAACTGACCCAAGTTGAATAACGACTGCCTTTTGTAGAAATGCTTGTCTAATTAAATCACTTCACACAAGAAATAAAGTGACTTAAGTGACTTACCTAAGTAATGACACTATTGTCTTTTTAGAGCTGCTTTACATCAGAATCTCCACTATTAGTTCTGATGTTTTTCTGTTTATCACCGTGAAGCTGCTTTGACAATCTCTATTGTAATAAGCGCTATAGAAATAAAGGTGTCTTGATGACTTCAGATGACAAAAAAAGGTCATTTCAGAGCTGGAGCGAGTTATTGCATTCTGATGAAGGATTATGAAGACAAACATTTATTTTGGAACAACATGCACTGCTGATCGAACTGTATTGGATGCAAAACGATGCATGAGAAGAACATGGTCATTGATTCTTTGGGTTCTTCGCTGGTGCATGAGTGTGAAACTCTAAAATCCTGAAATACGATCTCATCAAGATCCAAGTAAAACTGAATAGCAGCAGATGTGCGGATCATATTGGAGTGTTTGATAAGAGGGCCGATCCCACAGCAGCAAAGACGTTCCCAGAGCTGCTGAACACTATTCCCTTTCATTCCCTCTCCACACTCTGTTTATTTTGGTGCTCTTTTACACCATGAGGCCTTACGGCACAGGAGAACGAAAACATCGCGCATGGCTTCCAATCCAGTGACTCGACCGCTGGAAGCTCAGAGAGATGACGGAGTGAAGAGCGGGTGGATGAAGAAAACATGCTGCTTTTTAAAAGCTACTGTTCTCTGAGTGTCTCGGACTGATGTATTCAAAGTCAAATACACGTGAGCGAATACATGAGCGGGTCACAGTTAACCACAAAATCAAAACAGAGAGAGAAGAAATTATTTTAGAACCATAAGAATTTTAAAAAATGTTATAAAACTATTTGTGTGTGTGTGTGTGTGTGTGTGTGTGTGTATGGGCCATTCTACAGAATTGGTGCAAACTGCTGTCAAACAACAAAAATACACATTTAAAAAGCATTAAAGTATTCAAATCTTAGATGTTTATTAAGACCCTTCTATTATCTATTGAAACCCACAATAATATTCAAAATATTAGTAAGCTTAATATATATATAATTATCATTTATTGGGTACTTTCAATTGGGAGGTGGCTGTCCCGAACCCCAACCCCTAAATTTCAACTTTTAATTTAAATTTTTTTCATTGTTGTTTTTAAAAGTATCTTTTTGATTTTTTTTGATTTTTTTTTAAATGAAGTTCCAAAAAATATTTATTTTATATTTTCTTTGTAAATCATGGAACTTTATGTAAAAAATGTGTCCCGCATTTTTCATGTCACTACCGAAACAGTGTATGTTTTAGTCTATTGGCTGAGACCGATACTAAACCCTTAAGTTTATGATTTTTTGGTAAATGCATTCAAAAGTGTGTGTAACTTTCAGGAACGTCACTACCGAACACCTTTTTCTGCAATTAAGTACGCTTTTTTGGGAGTTATTCCATAACATTTAGTGTTTATATGTATACCACTGTTCAGAACTGTGCTAGCTAACCATGTGCTGATTAGCATCTTTGAGCTAGGTTCAAAAGTATCTAAAATAGTCACTACTGAAACAGTCACTACCGAAACATTTGGTGGCGTTTCGGTAGTGACATCTTTGTTTTTTTGGGTGTTATCCCATAGAACTGACGATATGCCTGTGGTACTTGTAACACTGATTCCAGGTATCCTGAGAGGATGGGCGATAGAATTGATTTGATTACATTTCCTAAACCCAAACAAAACAGAGCAAAATGTCCGCAAGCATTCAACCCCAATCCCAATGAAGACAAAAACTTTCATTTTCTGGTTGTCATACTCTCATTAAGTTACAGCAAGGTATCTCTGGCTAAAACCAGCTAACGTTAAAGTTAGTGAGTCAATGCTATTACAAACCTAAATAGCGAACTGTTCTCACGTCATGTACAGTGTAGGGCAAAAACACATAAACGAAGGTCTACATTTCAGTGCCTCTCCATATTAAACTGGTTAAATGTAAATTAACCCAATCACACCCTGCCATACATGAACAGTGATGATCCTGCATTTTTTTGTAGGTTTTTAGTATATGAGTTAAAATTCTGTAATGTGATGTAGTTGCTACCAAAGGATTACTGTCACTACCGAAAATGTGCTATCACTACCGAAACTTGGGATGTTT